CAAGCTGGGTTGGGAGAGTAGCTATCTCATTTGTTGTATGTCTTTGAAAATCTCACAGCTTTTCAGAGAGGATTTGGAAAGATGTTGTCCCTTAAAGGAACAAAATAAAGTTTCCTCTGAATCCTACAGAGTTAAGGCTCTCTCACAAGCCCAGAATGCATTAGAAACAAGACTCCAGCGTGGGAGATTTGTTTGAGGTGCTTTCCTTAGGCAGCCTACTGCCTGTAAGAAGTTAATCTGTTTCTCTAGATATTTGGGACACTAAATGGATTTAAGGATCTTTCGCAGCTACTTAACTGGAATGAGAGATGCCTGAGGTACAGAGGCCGGCAGAAAGAATGCAGTGAAGGAGAAAGGGCTGTGGATGTTCTCTGGGCGAGCGTAACCCTGCGCTGCCACCACTTGCAGTGCTCTTCTGTTCAGAGCTCACGATGGAGCAGCAGGTGCAGCCCAGCACTCTGGAGTTTTGTGTTTGGCGGCCTGCTCTGTCCAGAGAACTTGTTGAAGTGTGATATGTTCCAAGAACAAAGACAAGTGCTTCTTCAGGTACTTCATAAAGTTCGCCAGCAATGAAGAAGCACGCTTCAACTCAATACATGTCCAAATGTCGGGGGTGAGGGAAAGCATATTAAGTTGTTCAAGTACTTAGTTTTGTGAAATTTAAAAAATCTGAAGCATAGATACTTGTATGTGTGTTCTGTGGGCATGTGTATCCACACATGTTTATGTATAAGCTGATAACAGTGCATGGCAGGGCTCTGCAGCTGTGCAGTGTTTAGTGATGTTGTGTCATTCGCACCTCTGCATGCATAAGGGGCCTGTTTTTGACATCTAAGACTAACGTTCATGCAGACTTTTGAAGAAACATCACTTTATCTTGTGATGCTCAAATTATCTAATTAAGGCATAATACTGAAAATAGGACTGGGGAGGGATTTGTAAGATATGGAAGGGTGAAGTTACACCTGCTGACTGCTCTTTCTGCTGATACTTTCAAAGCCTTTGAGTATTCTTTCTAGATCAAGTGTTTCACCATTGCAGAATAGCCTTGATCCTTTTTAATCTAATGCAGGGCTAGGTGAGCCTCCCCACTGCTATTCTGAAAGTCACCACGGTGATAAACGCCTTAGGGAGGGGGACTGCCTGCAGCATAACTTGTATGAAAGCTGGTTTGCTTTTCTGCAATGGATGTCAGTGTCATTTTGTTTCTGTCTTTGAGAAGCAGAGTTCTGAAGATATTCTTGTGCTTTAGTTAGTAGCTACTTGTAGCTTGATTATACATAGAAGCAGTAGTATAAGTTATACTAGAAAAGTCATTAAGTCATGTCCTAATTCTCTGGTGTCTGTTACTGAAGACAGTAAGGTAGGGTCTCTATTGGTCACATCAATACCAGCAATCCACAAAAAAACAAAAAAACAAAAAACAACAGTCATCCTGATTTATGATTTTTAAAATGTGTTGTCTTTGAATCACATTCATTAGGGCATACTCATGGAGGTGGTTTTCCCCTAATGATGATGAATACATGCTGATCCAAGCACTCTTTTCAGAGTCTCTTTATTTTTCTCAGGAACTTTCATTTGCAAGACAAATGGCTGGCTCAGGGGCACTCTGCAGAAGTGGGAGAAGTACATAGGGCCATGTAAATATTGCAAGAATATCTTTCAAGCCTATTTGATTTACAAGTATGTGAGAACAAAGTATAAAAGTTCCTAAGAAAACAACATTCAGTTTTGCTGGCATTGTTGAAAAGGATACAATCATAAGAAATAGAAAATGGCCCAGAAAATGTCAAACAACTTTGCCATCCTCAAACCATATTTCAGCTCCATTCAGATGACCAAAAGGCAAGCTTTAACTCATCATGTCCAAAAAGCAAATTCCTCTTCTACTTTCTCTGTCTTTGCTCCCTTCATTCACTTGATCTCTGCCATGCTGTCCATGCTCCAGGTCTGCTGCTCTCCTTCCTCTCCCCTTCAGTGCAGCCATGCCTTGGGCTGTCACCTCTTCGTGTCAGGCGGCCGTTTGTTTCACCTTCTACTCTGCCTTAATGCAGGTTGACACAGCCACTCCTCACTCACTGCAAGCAAATCCAATTCATGTCTCCTGACCTAGGATATTAAGGTCACAATCTGTATTAATAGCCAGCATTAACTTCATCCTCCACCAGCTACTTCCTTGCAAAGTCCTTTCACCACTCCTTGACAACCTTTGTGTAAGTGGCTTCTGGAACACATTGCCTTTTCTGGAGATTGTCCCCTCATTCTACAGTTACTCCATCCTCTGGGTCTCTAGAGCTCTGACCCCTACCTCTCTTGCATAGATTAGTGGTCTGCTTGTCTTTCTTTCTCCTTGGAGACTGTGATTCCATCACAGGTAAACAATATGCCCTGATCATCTATTTCTAGCCATCAGTCAAGCCTCTAGTACCTATTAGGACCCCAGATATTTGTTAAATTAGTGAGGAATGAATTAAACTCATGCCCTGGAATGTGTTAGTCACATGAGGCACTTACCTCAATCAGGGAATATCTGCAACATGCATATGGTTGGAATAGATATTAGAGGATCTATTTGACCCTTGGCCTGTGCATTATTAGGCCATTCGGTTTGGGGAATCTAAGTATCTGCCCTTCTGTCATCCTCCATATGCCTTACTAGTCTCTTGCCTTTACACACACACAGTTTATAAACATGCATGATTTTCTCTTCAGTGTCTTCTTTATTAATAGCTTCTCCTGAAAGAATGCCCAATTTTGGCTATCAGTATCCAGATAGTTTGCCTCAACACTCAGTATCCTTTCCCTTCTGTCCTGGTATCAAGACACCATTGCTCGTCCTCTTCTCAGTGACAGCAAATGGCTCTGCTGAGGCAGGCATCCGGCATACGGAGAAGATGCTGGTTGGAACGTTCACATCCCATGTCAGCGTGTCTGAGTTTGAGTCCTAGCTTCACTTTCAAGCCCTGCTTACTGCCACAATACAACTTTGTGAGCTAGTATGTGATGGCTCTAATAATTCGGTCCTTCTCAATCCCTTGGGAGACCTAGGATTGAATCCCAAGATCCAGGCTGCAGTTGAGCCTAACCCTAGCTATTGTGCGCCTTTCGAAGAGTGAACCATCAGATGGAAAATTGATCTTTCTCTGTCTCTGCCTTTTGTAGCATTAAAATATTTGATTTAAAAAATAGCTCTGCTATTAAAAGCAGGAAACTTATTTTTTCATAATCTTTCATAATTTTATGACTACCACCATGCCACAGACAATCTCATCTGACAGTGAATTTAGGGTTGCAAAGAGCAGTTGAATTCCTCAATGATCCCAGCATGCGTGCAGACAGGCAGCATATAGAAAGTCTAGGTGGTGGAGCCAGACAGGTTCTCTTCTCCGCTAACCATGCCGCACCCTGAGGGCTGGTGGTCAGGTGAAGTTCAGCATTTTGGAGCATCTCAAGGTGACAAGTCTAGAAGTGCGACTTCCTCTAGGTGAGGTTGGTGAAGGGAGAAGACACATGCACTCAAAGAGAGTACAAGCTAAGGTGGAGAAGTCTCCTGTTCAAATTGGATGAACAACTTCTTGTGAGATAATGATGAAGTTTGCTGAATAAGGACAACTGGAGTTGGGGTTTTTCTGAGGTGGAAAATGGGCAACATAAAAGCCTCTTGAGAAAATTACCTTTAGAGCTTGAGAAGTAGTTGCATAATAGCATTTTAAGATTTTCATTGTACTACTAGTGAATAGAATTTTCCTTTCTCTCTCTGCTCTGTCATATACTTATTTTGTGTGCTAGTTTTTAGGATTGTATGAGCATGTGTTATTTTTCTTCCATGGGGATTATTCTATTATTCTGTAACATTCTTTGGATACTAAAAGAATTTTTTTAGAAGATCTTTGATGTCCTTTTTATGAGAGCCCTGGGAGTCAAAGATTTATGTTGATGGGAGTTAGCATTTATGAGACCCTAATTTCACTTGTGCCTTTCTAAATATTGAGAGTCTCAAACTTAATTATATGATTAGTTCAGTACTCTAGTTTTCTTAATCCCATGCTTGCTAGATCAATATCTGCTTAAGTGAGATCAAGTTGGTTTGCCCAACCCCAAACATCCATTACTAAGAATCCATTCCTTTTCCTATATAGTTTTGTTCACAACCTGTACTTGAAAGCATTGGATGCACTAAATGAAATGAAGCTGATAGAACTGGAACTTTAAGTGACTTTAAAACCAGAGGGGAGCTTATTTAAAGTGATAATGGAATGATCCCAGATACAAATGTTGGGTGGTACCTAAGGGTATTGAAATCAGACCTGGTTGCTCATTGTTGCTGGTCGGGTGAGCATCGTTCAGTTTTGAGGTGCATGTGGAGGCTTTTGTTCTCTGCCAGTGGGCAGCAGCATTAGCTGGAGTTGGTGCAACAGGAGAAGAAAAAGGACCCTGGAGTGAGAACCGATCCCTAAGGTTGATGGGATGTATGATGATAACTGTCCATTGCTCTTGCTTGGAACCTAGACTTGATACTGTCTTGAGAGAGCTATAGTGAAGTCCTTGAGATGGAGACCAACCATACAAGGGGAAGATTCCCCACTCAGCCACTATACCACAGTTTCACTTCTAAGTACCCAATCAGGCATTGCTTTCATGCATTTATCTATTTCTGTATGCCCACACTACTGACTGTGTATCCATAGTTCTAGGTATATAGATCTGTCAAAACACACTTTAAAGCAAGAACTAAACAATGCTTGGAAGTAAATGCCCATAACTTTTTCCCAGACATGTCTAGAATTCATTTTAACCTAAAGTTATGGAGACAGTCTTGAAGGGAGACCTCCCCAACCTTGCTAAAATGTAAGTACAAAAAGACACAAATGGGATGGATATTGATGATGTTGCTTCACTGTGACATCATCCATAGACTCCTCGTGTCTTTGCTTTGCTTCCCTATGGTGATCACAACATAAATTACTTGTCTTGTTTGACTTCCTTGTTCACCAAAGTTGAGCAGATTGTGGCCGTTTTCAACGCTTCTACCAGACAAAAAGCTTGGGACCATTTCTCGAAAGCCCAGCGCAAGAACATAGACATTTGGCGAAAGCACTCTGAGGTTGGTGATTTTATGATTATTTTTTAACCACCATCACACAGCTGGATTAGCAGGGAGTAGCATGGCTGTAGCCCTTAGGGTTTCTGTTACAAGGGACAGTCTCCTTGTCATTGCCCTGTCTCATGGTCAGCTCCAATTCCAGCTCAGATTGATCCCTTGTGCAGAAAAGCAGCTGACTTAATACATAAAGGACAGAGCATGTTTCTCCTCTGCAAAGGAGGAAGATAATCTCTTCCATTCATCGTATAGAACTTGAAGATAAGACACTTTGCTTAATACATTATTTTGAAGAGAATGTAATTTAACACAGAAAGCCAGTGTTTTAAGTATCAGAGTTTTTTTTCAATGTCCTGTGTGATGATGATGGTTTACTCTTTGGGCTAGAAATGGCAAGTATGCCTTTCCATCTAAGTCTTCTCATTATTCGCAGTGTGCTTCCCACTGTGCTAGCCATTATGTCCACCCTTTCACTCCCTGCCCAGAGCAAATGCCTCATTGCATGTGTGAAGTGTGAGTATCTACCCCCAGGAAAGAGGACAGACTCTGACCTTCATTGCCACCTAGAAACACCAACATGTGCCGTTAGCCATGGTCATCCAGCTGTTATTTTTAACTCCACAGTGTAGTGTACGCATTGAACCTGTAATTTAAAAGTAAGTATACTGTCTTTGTTTGCTTGTTTTTTTACTTTGTAATGAGAGAATGTTTTTCATGTGGGTGCTTCTCCATCTCTGAGCTTGTTAACATTAAAGTTCTCTAAATGATAGTCCCCTCTTTCAAAATCCCAAACTCATAGAAGGTAAGGTTTATATATCTAATGATTTTTCCTCATACTGGCAAAATAGTGTTTTATATTAAGTTTGAGGAACCACAAAGTCTTGTGATATCAATCATTTGGGTGGCATTTTAAGTACCCATTTACTAATGCTAAATTACAGTAGAATACCAATGGCACTAGTATAACATCCACATGAATACCAAATGAATTCCTTATTATCACTGTTGTCATGGTACATACTGAGTGAGTTCACAATAATGGGACACTTAAAATGCTAGTGCAATTTATTGTTGAGAACAGGATTTAAAAAAAAATGTTCACTAATGCCAGAGAAGTTGATTTGGTGATTAATATAATTCTACTCCTCCATTCAGGATTATGAGCTAAGGAGGGGTGGGAAATCTAGTTTTTTCAAGGACCAGAAAAAGGAAGAGTTCTTCCCTGGATTTGAGACTCACACTAATCTTGATTTAAACACACATCTGCACCTATGACATGAGACACAAACTGGGGAATCATGAAAATAGAAAGCGAAATCCATAAACTTTTATCTCATTTGGGGATGATCAATCTATGAGATGCTTACATATTTTTTCCACGTCACATAAAGCCAAACATGGTTAAAAGAAATACCTAGAGAAAGGCAGGTGACATGATGCTGAATAAGCCCCAAGCACAGGAAGGCCATCATTAGTTAATGAGTGTCAGTTTATGTCTTGAGTCCTGGCCTGCGTCACTCAACTTCTGCAGTCCCTTACTCTGGCTCACCTGGCATTGGTATTGTCCGGAGAAGGGCTTGAGAAGGCTCGCACTGGGGTCTGAGGAAGCCTGCCAACTTGCCCTGGCACCAAGAGGTTGCAGAGGAAGCTCAAAAAGAACGGATGGTTTGCAGTCTGCAAAGGTGCGCCTGTAAATGGTTCTAGCACCTTCCTGCCACTTCCAAAACCTCTTTTGATACATGTTAGGAATTCTCAATTACCTTTGATTTTCTCTCCTACATGTTGCCTAATTGATTAAATACCTGCTGGCAATTTAGCATTGTGGATGATTTCTCAGTTGCATATAAGCTTGATAATTGGCTTGATTATTTTTTTTACTGCATTCCCATGTACAGTATCTGCTAATTATCTGCAACACCTCTACAGATGTATTAGAGTGTGCCATGATTTACTGCTGAACTGGAAGCACTCTGTGCAAACACCCTCCTTTTATTGTCCTATTTTTCCCACTTCCTTATACCCATCCCCCACAATAACTGCAGTATGGCAGTTGTTCGCTCCTTGTGGGGACTGAGCAACAGATCCTTCCAAGCTTATTTCTTTCCCTTTCACTTGTCCTTGTTTCCAATATTTCTAAGCCATCTCCATGGGGATTGGGCTCTTTGTCAGTGGAAAACTTAGCTGTCCACAACCTAAACACTTCTCTACTAATCACAGGTGGCACCTGCTTCCAAGACCAGAGGGTGTCAATGAGGGCAGACCTGGTGCCTCCTGCCTCTGGGTGGTACAGTCCAGTAAAGGGGCATTGTCTGTCCAACCAGGGACCTCTCAGGACTTCCCAGTAATTAGTGTCCCTGACCCTACCCAACCCAAACTTCGCCTCTTGGCCTTGTCCCCTTCCCTGACCTCAGCCATGGTGAGTGCCACAGTACAGTGTTAACTAATCAGATACTGCTCACAGTAAATAATCTGCTTTCCACCATGCCGCCATTCCAATCTGTACACTCAGGAGAAAACAGAATTGAGAGAACCTCTACATATATGCACAACCTTGAATAAGCTCTGTATTTAAAATTAAGTTAAGTGAGGTAATCTAGGTTTATTGTTACTCGCAAGTGTACTTATTATAGTGATTTTTTTTTGCATAGACTTCAGTTTAAAAATGGGAGAAGGAGTAATGGAGCTTCCTCCCTTTTTCAAATCTGAGAATAACATGTAAGAGGACAGAATGAATAAGGATGCACAAACAGGAGAGTACTCCCAATGCCTCCTGGAATTTAAAAAAGAAAGAAACATATTTTGGCACTAAAAATATTGATATCCATCCATCATTTTTTTCAGAATATACATTTTCTGTGAACCCTTTGAAGTTCACATTATTTGGTACAAAATAATGATAAATAATTTCAATGTCCTGAATTTAGGGACCGTAGTGAAAAATCCACTGCATGATTGTAATTTGTACAATGAATTTTCACATATATTATTACATGCTAATTGCCTTGTAGTTATATTAGTGCCAATTCCCCATCCAGGATGAGTTGCCAGTCTCGGAGAAATAAAATGGCTTGCTTATGGTCACACATCAATAAGTAGAAAAAACAGGGAATGTCCAAAATCTATGGCTCTTAGTTTAAAATTATATTAAAGCAGCCATTACCACAGAAATCAGTAGCCTTACGTGATAGCATGGGAAACAAAAAAGAAGTGTCTGTTTTTGTTTTGCTCCCAAACACTTTTTGGATTTTCAGCTTCAGATATCTGAATGGTCTGTGCATTTTAGGTGAGTGTTGAGGAGGCAGTGTTGTGATCATGTACAGGCACAAACACACATGCAGGGGCACTCTGTGTAGGTGACAGATAATAGTGGCTGACAGCAGCTTAGCAGGCCAGGTGTCAGACTTGATGCTACGTCTCTTATATGCATTCACTCATTTCATGCTCAAAATTATCACAGTATTGCACTGGGCAAAATGAGGCCAAGAGAGAGGAAGTTATTATTGCACAAGTTACACAGCAGGTCAGTGGCAAACTATAACAGACCTCAATAAAATTCAGTTGCTCATCCACATTAGCTGTGGGTCCTTCCGGGGTGCCAGCCACGTAATAGGCCTTGCTATGTGAACCTTGGGATAGCCCCTCTAGGTGGATGCTGCTATCTGCTTGCTGACCAATGAGGAAATAGAGGCTCAGGAGAGATCAGCAACTTACAGTGAGGAGTCCTTAGCTCATTGCAGATGAGCAGGGATTTTTCCCAGGTGTGAATCTTCCCAAGGCCTCCATTTGTAACTGGGCCACTACACCCCTCCCCCAGCAGCCCTTCATTCCACATTAGATGAGGCAGTGTTGGGAAGGTCAAGACTTAAGGCTTGTCAGCGATGCACGGTCAGTTGTAACATGTCCTGAGACCAGTGCGAAAAACCTGCCGAGGCATGTCCTGGGCTCTGACAGCGCTGTGTGTCCTCTGCTTTCAGGAGCTCCGCAATGCTCAAAGCGAGCAGCTCATGGGCATCCGCCGCGAGGAGGAAATGGAAATGTCTGACGATGAGAACTGTGACAGCCCCACCAAGAAAATGAGAGTCGACGAATCAGGTAACGCCCGTCACTGCTCCATTCCCAGGAGGTATCATAAGGATCTTCCACGCCTCAGATGGGGACTGTACGTTGGGAAATAGCCACGTCACTCACTTTCATTTGAGTTACACTGAACTTTCATCTTGGAGCTACTCTGCCTTTTATTAATAGAAACTCGAAGCTCCTTTTAGGAGTAGGGAGACTGAAATTGCTCCGGTTGTTTCCCCACATGTTTTAGCTGGGACTCTGATCCATTTCTCAGGGATGCCTCCCTGTCCCATAAAAATCCTTTTCCAGAGTGTGGCAGTCGCAGTTGCGGCTGAAACACAGATAAAATTTGGTTTCAGTCATTGGACTTCTTATTTAGGAATGACTTAATCCCTAAAGAAGCTTTCTAGCTTCCGAGCCAGCATGCTGGAAAATTAGTCATTTTTTCCTGATAAATTGGAGTTCACCTAACCGGTAATCGAGGGGGTGGACTCCCTTGGTTCCGAGTGAGGGCTGTCCCTCCTGGAGTGGTGAAAGGGAGAGAAACTGAGAGGATCTTGCTTTGTGTGCTCTCTCACACCTGGGATGCTGATGAAACTTCTGTGCTGGACTTGGAAATGAATTCCTTGGTAGGGCAAACACAGGCAAGCTCATTCCCAATGGAGACACCAAGGCAGATTGATGGCTGGGTCAAGGGTGCCATGTGTTGAGATGAGGGAAGAGTCACGGTTGCCACTGTGGTCAAAAAAGAAAACTATTCAAGTGAATTGGATCTATCTCCTGTCTCGGGGTTTTTAACAAAAAGACTGTAGTTGACCATGAGGCTGCTTGACTCACTTAGTGGTCAGTGGAAGAATCAAGATGGCAGAAGGGTGAGCTCCCTGCAGCTGCATGTGGTCAAGTTGCTCTGCATCTCTAGAGCTTGAGGAGTAAATGCCAGAGGTATCAGTGAGGCTCTTGGGAGAAAGCTCTTACAGACCTTCTTTTTAAAACTGGGGTCCCCAGCCCTGTAATAGGAGTGTCACCCCAGAACTCATCAGGAAAAGAAATCCTCAGGCTCCACCCAAAGCATGCTAAACCAGAAGCTTCTAAGGATAGGCAGTGGAGAAGTGAGAAGCAGCAACGTGTGAGAACCACTACTATCCAGACTTGCCCTTCATCCTCTGGTTCCATTCATTCAAGTCTTCTTTTCCCTAGGGGACTTGAAGTGTTTATTATGCGAGTGGAGAGGCTTGCTCCTTCCAGTTGGCCACTTTCCCTATAGAGGCCAAGACACTGCTCAGTCTGTTCTACTTCTTGGTCAGGATGTGTGTCGGCACCCTTTCCTTGATGAACTTGAGGGCCCATTTGTTCTTATAGACCTTGGACAGTTCATGGCTCTGCACTCCTAGGGGACAAAGCCACACACATGCCAAATGGCATCCTGCACCAATTTAGTGTCCTTGGTACAGCACCCACACCCACGCCTGCTGGCAGCACCTATGCCTCTGCTGGCTCCCATTCTTGATCACCTTTTGTCCTTTGTTGAGGTCCATGGCCATAGGGTTGTGTGTAGCCAGAGTTGCTGCTTCTCTGTGATTGCTAGAGAGGAAGTCACTAATTTAAATCCGTTGGAAACTTAGCATCCAAGTGAGGTTATGTCACTGCTGTCTGGAATCATGTGTATCATTTGTCTGACGGCTAAACCCACCAGCATCAGTAAGATCGTCAGATAAGTAAATATGTTTTTTTTTTTAAAAAAAAAAACAAAACCTGACTATTTTCCTGATGTTTACCTACAGGTAAGTGGCAAGTAAGTTTACATGAAGCTTGCGTTGATTTCCCAAGTAGAAATTTCATGTGATTTCATAGCCTGCCTTGAACCAGAATAGTAATGGCCCTGAGCAGGATGCCCACTGAGAAGATGTGATGCACCATGACAACAAACATGTAGCTGCAGGATTGCCACCACTGCCCCCTGTGCTACAGAGGCATGCAGGGCAAGTCAAGGACCCCACAAATGGCAGAGACCAGAGGTCCTCCCTGGAGGTTTGATTCCAGAACCCTTCTTCCCAGCCCTCTAGTGGTTCACTCCACAGGCATCTGCTGAGAGCCAGAACCAGATAAAGCCTGAACTTTGTGAAACTTCTGCCAGGCTTGTTACTTGATTAGCAGAATCACTGAGCAAAATACAGCACGTGTCATAAAACCGAGTGTTATAGGAGCACATGAAAGAACGGGAGTTCAGAGTCTTTTCTTTGCTCTTCTAAAAGAGGTGGTCCAGAGGACATGGTGTGTGGTTTCTGTAGAAAGCACAAGGTTGGCAAAGGGGAGGGAGAACGGCTGACCTTATTTTTAAATCTGTGTGTCCCAAAAGATCACACCGATAAGCCGAACAGTTTTCCTTTCCTTGTGGTTATGGAGCGTGGAGGAAGCATTTGCAGCCCTTCTTCTGACCACACGGGGAGACAAATCCCTGCTACCTGCTGCTGGAAGCCAGGCAAAGAAATCCTGGCCTGAGAGATACTCCTCTCAGCTTTTCTCACCTTTGCTACTGCTTAGGGACCAGTTTCCAGTCACAGATAAAGGAGCAAGCCCCCAGGATGCAGGAAATTGTCAGAGGCTACAGTGGAAGGATTTGCTCAGAGCTTTAGGAAATTCTTTGCCTATGTTTGCTCTTATCAAAACCGTGAGATTTTTGTCTCAGGTCCCCCTGAGGAGTAATTGACCCAGAATTCTGAGGAATTTCAGAGAGAACAGTCCATGGGGTGGGGAACACTTGCATTGGCAGACTATGGTGACCGCTCCTTCTCACACCCCTGGTAAGACTGCTGGTCCAATGCCTTACAAATACCCCTGCATGCCTTTCATTTCGTGGTAAGAATTGACCTGATTTGGTTTCTATAAAAGGCACAATTGATGATGTAGGAACCTGTAGGACATCTTGACTTGGTTCTTTAGAACAACAACAACAAAAAATCAGAGTTTTGTAACTGTAACTCTGTTGAACATCCTCCTAGACCATACATGCTCATTTACAACATGTCTGTGGCTGGAGATTTCCAGGGCCACTGTGGCTGTAGTTCTGGATAGACTATTCTCTGCCTCACTCATTGGGTCTTGAAGGGGAGAGGGGATTTGGTGGAGCAGAACTAAGATGCTCGTGTAAACAAACAAACAAAAAAAACCCATATATTTTCTTGATAAATTTGAAAATCACAACAGGTTTATCAAAGCCCACTCAAAAAGACTGGCATTCACCATGACCATAATTTTTTGATAACTCGAAGTTGCTGTTTAGTGTTCCTCTTCCTGAAATCTAGCCAGAGTTTTCAATTCAGACCTATTCCTTCTACCTACCCTGCTCCTCTCTCTTCCACTGCCTGTCCTCCTCCTCCCTCGTCTTTTACTCTCCCCACTACCACCCAACCCTTGCTGGTGGGAATACATTGTAGCTATCAACATGTGGGGAGCACTGTGTTGGTGTTTCCTCCTTTGTTATATTGTATTACGTTCCTGAAATGGGATGTATGTAAAGAGCAGAAGTTTATGGAGTTCACAGTAGTAAAGGTTGGAGAGTATGGTGCCCTAGTCAGACCCTCCTGGGTGCTGCCGTCACAGTGAGGGCCCTTCAAAAAGAAATGCCATCACAAGACCAGACAACAGAAAGGGTCAGCCAGCCTTGCTCTTACTCTTAGCAGTTCTCTCAAGAATTTTGCCAGAGATGATGTTTCCTTCCCTCCTAAGGGAAGGCCCCAGTGATTTGGCCACTCCTATTGGACCCTGCCTCTCAAAGACTTCCCCATCTGTAAATCACTGGAGACCAAGCCACTGAAAACATGAACCCTTGAGAAACAAGCCACATGCAAGCCCGTAGCAGGCACCTTCTGGTGTCCAGGGCTCTATGGACCCTGGAGGAATGGCACTCCCTGCCCTAGAAGGCATAAGACTGAAGAAAATAAACATTTTAATATAAACACCATCTCTAACATCAAAAATATCCTCAAGGCAATGAGTTAAATTCACTTTAAACCAAAATGAATGTCGTTGCCTACTGTATGAGTGTGTGAACATCATCCAGTACTTGATGAGGCAGACAATGAACACAAATTTCAGAAGAATAAAACTTAAAAGGCCCTGACTTCATGATTGACAATCCTCAGACCACTCTGTAAAACATAAACAGATGTCCTTGGATTTTAATTTACATCTCGTTTAAACCCTGGGCTCTTTAGAGGAGCAAATATTTTCAATTTTGAAGACTTATTTCCTAGGTTATTCATTTTCCATGGAAATTTGCCACAATACCAGTATGGATTCTGTTTTTAAAATTTCCATAAGAAGTCATAGATTTTCAACATCTTTCATCCAACTAAATCTAAGTAGGGACCGTTAGAATTAGAGGTATTCAGTCTGAGCAGTTGGATATGTAGCTGTAAGCCTTTGGTCAAAAAAAATTGTTAAGACTGACTGTGGCTGTCCTTTCGATTTCTTTGCTACAAGGACTGCCTAATTTTTCTGCTCTAGTGGATTTCTTGCTTGGTGGTGCTTTTGAAGGATTCTGAAAGGTGCCTAGCAGGGAGATTGCAAGCAGGCACAGGCCTAAGGGGAGGTTTGCTGCCAAGCACACACCAGCAGGCCAAGAGAAGGCTCCCAAGCACAGGCTGGTGTCTCGCAGCCCTTGCAGCTGGTTGAGGCTTCCTTTTCCAAAGTGTTGAATCTGATACAAAGCAGGCTCACTCGCAGTAGTTGGCAGAGGGAAAAAAGCATTCAGAATGTATGTATGTATGAATGTACAGAATGTAAGGTGGCCCAGTCTCTAGCTATGTGCCAGGGTCTAAGCTCCAAGCAGCAGCTGACCCCCAGAGCAGGAGCACCCATGTGGAGTGGATGAGATATTTCTCACACGTGATGACAGTCTGAGACACTAACCACTGTAAAAGGCAAGAGTAGTGGTATGTGTCCATCGGCAACCACAGAATTAAAGCTTTTTCCTTTCGGCCACAATCCACCATCTTCTAGAAGCCAAGTGGCAAGGAAGGCAGTGTGATGAATCAAAGGCGTCCGGTGGGAGGAGACGGACACTGTCTTCCAAGGTGGGCTCAGTAGCCTGCCCGCTACAGAGCTCAAGCCTGTGTTCGTTGGCTTTTCTTTTCTCTGTGTTGTTGTTTTTCTTTCTCTCTCTCTTAAATCTTAATTAATCTTGCCCAAAGAAATAAATGAATGTTTATTTGGGATTGACCTTTCATCTCCCCGATTTCAGATACTTGGAATTCCCTTTCTATAACAAACATGCTTCTGCAAGGATGGAAAGTGTATCTGTTAATTACATTCAATGTAAAAAGACAAATGCTGCTGAATCCATCCTGCAGTAGGGGATTCCTCCCTCCTGGAAGCCCTCCTTCGGAGCAGCAGGGCTGTGTCAACCTGCTGTGTAAATTCACGGTTCACACCTACGCTGCCTTCAAGCTTAGCCGCCTTCCGGTCCTGTTTTGTCTGGTGCCCCCAATAGTACCATAACTCCTGACAACTCTCAGGCACCAACTTGTCATAGTCTTGTGTTTGGGGTGTGGCTGAATTTGCATTGTGCCTGGATACCAAGGATTTTACGTAAGACTTAACCACTCCACTGTATGGTCCCTCCCCTTAGGTCCCAGCCTAGGTTCTCTAACAGTCCATGTTTTATGTTGGATGTAAGCTTGGGGCTGGGTGGGTTCTCCATATGCCTTGCATGAGTGTGTAGCAGGCCAGCCCTTTTTCCCTGTGTTTCACTAAGCAGGCTATGGTTGTGTTAGGTTCTGGCTCCTTGCCTGTGGTGACAAGGTGCTTGAACCTGGCACAGGGCATAGGTAGGTAAGTGATTGGCAGGCAGAGGAAGAGAATTAGGAAATTAACCAGCGATCTTCCAGAAGGGAGCGCTGTAGACCTTGGCGTGGGTGAGGGTTTAAACATGTGGCCAGTGAGTGGTGGGAGTTGCAGTGCTGAGTGCAGCCCCCAGAGCCCCAATGCGTCCCCACTGCCAGGAACACCATTATCTAGATTACAGTTTATTATGCTTTCTGGGCATTTCATCCTGGTAAGGCCTAATGCAGGATCATTACGCAGGAGAGTAGATTTAATCCTGTTTCCTTAGCAGGCTTTAAAGACAGGAAGGGAATATTTATGTAATAAGATGCAAAGTTGCTATGGAAAATACTATAGCAACCCAACATCTTCCCAGAGCCAAGCAGCCACTTGTACCAGCAATCTAAATTTACATTTATTTTAGTGTCATTTTATTGACACTCTTAGTATCTCATTCTGACAGGATGTTAAAATATGTTTTCAGCTAGCATTTGAGCAAAATTAACACAGTGTTGTTGGAATTGGTATGTATAACTTCTGGGGAAAAAAACCAGAAAAATCAGAATATTTTTGAGGGAGTTTAGAGGACAGAATCCAGGTAAGTTTGTAAGCTTTTTTTCCTGGTTGCCAAAATATAGAGAATAATTTCTTGATGGCTTTTATTCCTAATTTTCTCTTTCAACTTGCAAGCAGTTAGAAACTTTTCATTGTGAGGATTATCATTCTAATTATTGACCTGTTGCGTGACGTGCTCACCTGTGATGCTAACAGATACTTCTAGAAAACGCTTTAGCAGCTCAGCTCATTGCCTCTAAGAGAGTATGTCATATCAAAAATAAAATTTGCTCACCTTCTAAACAACAGGACCTGGTTGTTTTAAAAAGCCTTACAGTTAAAAATTATGAAGAAATAAAATAAAACTGTTACCACACTCTAAAGTGTTTTGGTTTCTAAATTTTTCATCTGCTCAGCTTAACTATGTAAATATTTTCTGTGTATTTTCTAATGCTCAGGGCCAAATATATGTGAGTGTGGGTTTTGACCTCTTATTGTAACAAACATTTTTTATATAAAAATATCTAATATAAAAAATCTTACATTAGTGAAATTGAAAATTCAGCGTGAATGAATGTGTATGCTTTGTGAATCATGGGTTGTTTCTCATGAACCTCTAAAAGTTGAATCTGAAATCTTTCACATGGTCAGAATATGTTCCTGAGCTTCTTAAAAAGCCTGGCAAAACTCAGCCAGCCCTTCCAGGAGCATCTTTTGGATTCCTTAAATGTGGGCATAGCAAAGAAGCTATAGATACAGAATCCAGTTGGTGGCAGGAAGATAGTATCCATTGATTTTCTTCTAGACCTATCCATCTAAAATCTTGAAGTGTGACTATAATACTGTTAAAATGGAACATTGACCAAAAGGATCAATACTAGACCATATTAAAACATATACCATTACCAACTCCTTAGCAATGTGATATACTGTCTATGAACATCATTGTCTTAGTTCTTGTTGGCTTTTGCAGTGCTCGTCAAAGCCCACTTGATGACATAAAGCTATTATCCCTTGATGAAAGTGTGTCTTGTGAAATCCAGCTAGCCATGCACAGTTAATGACCACATAACTATTAGAAAATGGGATTCAGAGAAGTAATTACTTTCTTCCTTTCCTCAGAACTTCCACTTGCTATTATGTGATATTTATTCTCATACTTAGCAGCCTAGAAATGGAAACTTATAATAATGCCGACATTTTTACCCTAGTAAGCTCTTCTCCTTCTAAATAGCATTGAGATGCCTGTCTTTCACTTATTGAATGCCCTCTGCATCAGACAGAGATGCAGTGCCTGGTGACTCTTCTCCCAGTGCCAGGACAGAAGATAAGAAACCTTCAGCGAAGTTGGTGGAGAAAGACACTTTGACTTAGGCACCTCAGGACCAGAGAGTAGGGGAGAACTTGTCTGGGCAAACATGCAAGGTGGAGTCTAGGAAAACAGTGTTTCAGGCAACATGGTACTAATTCCTCAGTACACCCACCCCAACTTCTGGGCTTGATTTATGCCAGAGACCCTTGAGTTCCTCTTCAGGCATGTTGGGTGATCTTTGCAGCTTGAAGCAGTTGTCTAAATTTTTGCTTATCAGAGTTACTTTAAAAGCATGTAAATATTCAGATACCAGAGTGTTGGGAAAGGCGTAGCTATGATGCATCTTGGAAAAATATATAGAAATATTATTTTAGGAGACCATGTGAAGGGTCTCGCAGTTTATAGAAACTGTGTGTTATCTTTTAATTCAATTTTAAATGAATATTTTGGAGTACTCTTATAGAATGATAGGTATTAGATAATGTTTCAATAAATTGCAAAGCGATAAAAGCAGTTACAAATCAATATATTATTCAGACAATTTTGACTTCCTCTCTCTTTGAGTGTGTTATTTTCACAGTTTATAGGGAGAAATATGCAAGGCTATGGGTCAGAATAGTCAGAGTGATTATCTCTAGTGTGGTTAAAGGTGATTTTTTTTTTTTTGGTCCTTTGTGTAGTTGAAAGATGTCCACATGTTTATATAAGTATTATTTTAACAATATTGTAGTAAACCTTTAAAGGAGAATATGTGGTCACATTAATGGCATTTGAGGACTAATGCCTGGGTGTTTCCAGCCAGTCTGTAAAATCTAAAGTAGTGACAGCAACTAGTGTTAGAGGATGGAAGCTGACTGTCTTGTCTTGCTTTAACTTAAGAGAATTTCCACATGTAGCTTGCCATATGTAATATGCTTACCTTCTTAGAACCTGTCATCCTAGTTTCCTATTACAACGGCTAATTATATTTGCATAACTACTTAAAGGAAGGATTGAAGAAAGAATGCAAATTCTAAACCAGACAGTATCTTTGAGCTCTTACCCAGAGCAAGATCAACAATGCCGAGTGTCGAGATTAAAAGAAGTCTTAAAGATGTTGTTCCTCCTCTTTTTTGTTTGTAACAAATAGGAAAATGTAGTCCCATGGTAAGAATATGCCTGCTCAAGAAAAACTACACTTCAACATGACCTTTTTTGTTTCCAGGCTAATACCTTTCCCCTGGCACCACTGACTTCTGTGGGGAAAAGATTGCAGACTGTCTTTCAGATACCTTAAGTGACATAAGAATCATCAACCAAAGAAAATCAACATGCTAAAGGCATGAAACTTTGATACCAGTTAGGGTGAAGGTTGACTGGAGACATTTAACAACTTGGAATGTTGATCCAGACAGTGCTGACCAGGACTTATACTTAAGTCTTCTTAGAATTTACTAGAAAGAGTTTCACTTCAACATAGGTAGTGAACCCAATAAACTACTTTTAAGTCTATTGCAACAGAAAGGCCACCTTTCAAGAAATATTCAGGAAATTGGCCCCTGTCCATTTTTATTATAAGATTTATTTATTTTTATTGGAAAGTCAGATATACAGAGAGAAGGAAATAGAGAGATCTTCCATCTGCTGGTTCACTCCCCTAGTGACTGCAACAGCCGGAGCTGAACCCATCTGAAGCCAGAAGCTAGGAGCTTCTTCTGAGTCTCCTACACAGATGCTGGGTCTCAAAGCTTTGGCCCATCCTCTGCAGCTTTCCCAGGACACAGACAGGGAGCTGGATAGGAAGTGGAGCAGCCAGAACATGAATCAGCACCAATATGGGATCCCAGTGCATGTAAGGAGAAGACTTCAGCCACTAGGCTATCGCATCAGGCCCAGCCCCCAGCCTTTTATAGTTAAGTGATAATTATTTCTTCGAAACAGTGTCTACCGTATGATTTTAGACAAGAGGAAGAAATGTTTTGAGGAAGTGAAGTACACTGGGAATGAGGAGAGCCTTGTCACATGTTTCCTTTGTAAGCTGCACATACCACACAACCAGTGTGTTCAGTTTCCTAACTCTCAAAGAAAGACAAAGAGAAAAGCAAGCCATTTCACAAACACAGGCTCACATTTAATGGTCGATCTGAAATAATCCGAGCTACAATATCATCCCCGTGTTCTCACTGTACCCGCAGGGCCTGGGAGAGCCTACCTCAAGATCACTAGTTTATTGACTCTCCATCTAATTTAAAAGCTTATTGAAGTGGTCTCTCTGCTTCCATGTTCCCAAGGCTTTTCTTTATGAGATATACCTCTCAATATATCTTAAAAATAGAAGTCTGAGCGAGAGCATCTTCAGTAATGGAAGTCATTTCGAGATTCACAGATGCAGGGAAGTTTTGATCTAGACAAGGTTGCGGAAGTAATATCTTCTCCCTCCGCACAGTGTTGTCCAACTTCATGGGAAAACTGAGTTTTGGTACCCCCAGCATTAATCAGTTGATTTGCATATTTGTAGATACTAGAAGTACATGCTGGATACGTGTGGCATTTTTATGGTTACAAGTTTTGGGAAAGAACGTAATCTTCACCTCACATTTTGCAAATCTGTTGGTAGTAGTATGAGAGATTGCATTCTTCTGATGACTTATCAGTCAGCTCTTTTTGAACATGCCCCTCCTGTGGTAGTAGATTTTTCTGGTATCCTGTCGCCAGCCATTTCTTTATCCTTAGCTCTTTGCTGCTGTGGATCATCTTAAGGATGCTCAGTGAATTTTTATAATGTACACAGACGTGGAGCATGTGGCTTGCAGTGCCAGACAAAGGCAAGAAGTGGGGAAGAATGAATTAGACTATCTACTGAAACCCAGTCTTTGATGGAATTGTGTTGCTCATCAGTTAAGAAGACCTGACAGCGTAGCCTCTGTCCCCGTTCTCCTGGACAGGCATCTGATAGTGGGTCCACGCAGCCTGCCCTCTGTGCTGTCACATGCCACAACCATCACCAGCAGAGAGACCCTTGAGAGCAGAGAATACCTGGACAGTTTTGTACATCTTCTCATCTGAGTTTGGTCAGCCCTTGGAGAAACCTTGGATGCTCGTTAAGGAAGCAGCAAGAAGCATGTGCTGAGTTGGGATGACCTTGTACCCCACATGCTGCTTCAAGGTCAGCTTAGGATGTCTTCCTCTCCAGATGCTCACCGCTTTGTACTGTATACGATAAAGAGACAAAAATGTTTTAGGGAAATGGTTGGGAAATTGAAAGTAAGATAATTTAAAGTTTGATCAGTTAATTAATTGTTTTGGTTTGTTTTTTGCTCAGTACCAATGGGGGGGGGTTGGAAATTCCTGCTACCCATGAAGAGTTTTTTTAAAAAGTTCATGGAAATGTATATAAGGAAAAAAAATGAATTTCAAAGCATTTTGCACAAAATGCGCTAATCATTGAACACCCTTCTCCACAAACTTCTGGAAGTTCCCCTATGTTTAATTCTCACAGCAATGATTAAATGGTTTCTGGGATGAGGATCCTGCAGTCCCATGGAAGGTCTGTTCCTTCCCACGGTTTCATAGGTCCTGTCTCTCGACCCTGCCTCTGCTTCCTTCTTGTCCACAAGCCCTTGAAGCTGAGGGGAGCAAAAACTCAAGACACTAGACACCATGACCAGAGCTCTCCTCAAGTAAGCTGCTCCTGAGGAACACTCCACGGTCCCCGAACGGCAGCACGTGTCTGTCCTCTGCTCGGGGACCCTGCCTTGTCCTATCAGACTCTTCCGTGTGTTGTTCTACAGGGCAGCAACGCCGAGACCTTCCAGATTGTGAAACCACCAGGGCTGGTTGCAAGCTAGAGTGATACCAAGAAGTTACCACACGTGAAAAACTTACCTTGATTTTTTAAAAAAGAATAATTGAAAGTTTTTTAGGTCTTTGGGCTGTTTAATATAGAAACTAAGACTTAAGTTCGATCTTTTGCTTCTTCTGTATGACCTCTAGAGAAGAAAGGAATATTTTCGCTGATGCTAGATGGCCAGTGCTATGTTCACAAAGCATGCTACCTACAACCAATCACTGTGCCTCCTCTCTTATACTCAATGAAAAGCTGGGAACAATAGGAATTATTGTAACCTTTCAGAAACAAAACATTTCATGCTAATTTGCGTTTAATTGGAAGGAAGCCATTTTTTTTAATCGTCCACTGTGGATTTGAAGCCTGTCCTATCACTGACCTCTTTAATTCAATGAAGGTCACCCTATGAACTTACCCGGGCAGCTCTTTTTCTCAATTAACAAAAAGGTAGAGCCATTTCAAAGCATTTTAAGTTTGATAAATTGTGCTTAAGTGGTGCTTCAGCACTTGCTAGGGCTTTTGTAAGGAGTTGCTAGGAAGACTAAAGCAGTGCTACCTGAAAATAGCTCTGATCAGAAACTCCAAACAAATCAATGTAATGAGCAAAGCAAAAGTGCATAAGTTTAACTTTGGGGAGGATGTGAAAAATAATATAATCGTGTTTAGTATACAGTGGATTTTAATGTCTGAACAGGCTGTCCCAAGGAAAAATTGGTTTAACTTGGCCATCCAGACAATTTATGAAATACTTTGCTGCCCAAGGACTCAGAGAAAACAAATGCTGAGTTTGTGAAGCCAGAATTTTGAAGCCATCTGAGTCCAAGGATGAAAACAAATAATGAGGAGACATGTCCAACGAAAGAATGTGATCTGGAGCCCTTGGTGTAGCAAGAAATGAGGAATCCTGGACACCAGCCCCTGGCTTCCTTTCATGTTTCGTTTCTACTCCCGAGGTCTAGGTGAGGACCCCTCAACTCCCTCCAGTGCTGTTTTGAAGAGAGGTCCATTGGTGTAGTGAGGAACAGCTGTTACAAAGGAGACTGCCAGAGTGACAACCTGTGTCCTGGAGAGCCTTCAATTCAATTCAATTCAATTCAATTCAATTCAATTCAATTCAATTCAATTCAATTCAATTCAATTCAATTCAATTCAAGGCATGCACTGAAGAAACAAGGTCAGAGGTCTGTCCAAGTAGGGCAGCAGCTCTGGTTCCAGTGTGCTTGCAAAGGATGTCCCTTTTCTGAACAATTGAGCAGTGACATTTGGTTCATCTTAAGAGATTTTGCTTAATCGGGTTGTGAGAAATACCCCAATTAAGGAGTTTCCTGGCATTTTGCAAATACCAGGAACCCTGGCAATGTGGGACACTGATACTGGTGAGCAAGAACAGTTCAGAGTCCTGCTGCACTTGGGAGTCACCTGGGGAACTCTGTACAAACACCAGTCCATGGGCAGCTGTGTCACTCAGATCCTTACTCTGCTGATTCTGGTGCTCAGAGAACTGATAACCACTGGTCTGTCACATGAGGCTGGATGGCTGGATGGGAAACAATGTGTGATATGTGAGAATGGAGGAGGGGATAAATACGTTCAGTGGTCAGAGTGACTAAATGTGGCACTCATAAAGAGATAAAAGAAAAAGGAGAAATGAGAGTCTAGCATGCAAGATTCAGGCAGAAGATTCCTCTAATCAGGTCTTTGGATAACAGGAAGAAATGGTTACTGGGATGGGAAAGGAGGGTGGCCTGATACAGCAAATTGTGATGCAAGCCAGGAACAGAGTCCCTGCCTGGCTCTGAGTCTAGGAAGCCAGCCAAGGACTGCTTTCTCATCCATCAGGGATGAGAGGGAAGCGGGTATGCTGGACGCTTGCCAAAGAGAAGAGCCCCGTGACATTGAGCCACTCTCCTGGTGTCAAGAGAGCTGGTCTGGGGGGCCCCTGGTCAAGGGTGATTAGTTCTAGAAGCTCAGCCTGGCCTCCCCTGGGTACCAGCCACAAACCTGCCACAGCAGAAACTTTGCACAGAAATACAGCTGCGAAGAAAAGGAATGCGCGACAACACCTAGTAGATCAGAACAGTGTGTTTTGGAGACGCTGCCTGGAGGATTTATGAAAGCATTCAGTCCCAATCTCACCACAGGAGAAGCCGTCAGTAGCATTCAGAGAGACGCAGCTAGACAGATGAATGGAATGTGAGCAGACACCAGAGAAGGCAGAGACGCCCAGAAAGCCAAGGAGGGTAAAAGCTAGAGAGGGGCAGAAGGTTCTGTTGCTAATACAGAAGCCATTGGCAAAGTGCCAGAAAGCCAGTGCCCCCAAATAATAACAATGTTAATGAAACAAAGAGGAGACTGGGAGGAGGCATTAAGGAATGGGAAACAGTCCCTAAAGAGAAAAGGGCTTGGGGCATGGTTATATACGTGAGCATGTATTAGGATCTACCCAGAAACTTGGGATGCTCCTTCCCAGGCTCCAAGGCTGCATCTCAGATTCAGGGGGTTTGGGACAGACCCAGGATTTCCCATCAAAGATGGGATACAGAGAGCCGATGATGGCAGCTGGCTGCTCACACCAATGTCACCCTTGGTCAGCCAATCAGGGATGATATTATTTCTGTCCCAGTGCCAGCCACAAATACATGTCCATAAATCAGTTTCAGTGTTGGTGACAAGGACAGCAGGGAGAGGATACGATTTCAGACAGCCCAAGTGTCAGAGCACAGTGTGGGTTCCCACTCAATGTTCTGGTTGGTTAGGGTTTATGCAAAGCACAAGTGACAAACTCCTCTGCCGCTCACCCTGCTTATCTCAAGCATTTGGTGTTAGAAAATAGAGGCTTTTGGAAGGACTAGCTAGTCCTTGTAGGAAGCAGTGCCCATAAGTGTGGACATACTTGAGAGCTGGGCTTCAGTTCGTGTTCCACGGTATGCACACAGTGTGCTGGAAAGGCTGGTGCACATCATGTGTGTGCAAATGTGTGCGTATGTGCCAGGTGTGTGGCAAAAGCAAAGTATCATGTTTGGAAAGGCATGTTTTGAAGAACATTATGAGTGAACATTTGTTGAAAAGGAAAGAAAAAATTGTAGTTGGGGTAGGGCTAGATACATTACAGGCTGATACGGGAATGGGGGGCCGTGTTTTCAGGGAAAGGAATCCTGTCTATTTCTTTTTAGAAATAATGTACTTATTTATTCATTATTTTAAAGGCAGAGTTACAGAGAAGGTGAGAGACAGACATCTTCCATCTACTGGTTCACTCCTCAAATGGCTCCAATGGCCAGGGCAGGACAGGAGCCTGGAGCTTCACCCTAGTCCCCCATGTGGGTGACAAAGACCCAAGCACTTGAGCCATCTTCCGCTGCTTTTCCCAGACAGAGAGACAGATCAGAAGCAGAGCAACCAAGACATGAACCAGCACCCCTATGGAATGCAGTGTGGCAGACTGCAGCCCAACCCTCTATGCTGCAGCGTTGGCGCCAGGAATGCTGTTTAAACACAAGACACTCCTCTCTTTGAATAAGACTATATACTAGTTAAGATGAAGTCACACAAAGCAAAACCCAATGGTGGGTGGTTAGGACACTGTTTCAGGGCAGGACCCCAGCGAGGAGTTGCTGTTTCTACAAGCCAGTATCCTTTTGAGATGTGTGCTGGGTCAGTGAAGGCTGATGGCCATAGAACAGAATCTCTCAGACTTTCGGTGGGCTGGAGGACTGGGGGTGGGTAAGTCACCTTAATGTGTTAGAAATTGAAATGGGGATTAAAGATGAAAAAGCAAGTAGAAATATAACCAAAAAAGAGAGTAGGGACCAAACGCCTGCTACCTTCTTTTTACTTCTCCTGCCTGGCTTTGGGGTCCCTGTAGAAGCCAGTCTCCTCTCTCCCTTATCTCCTCTTGCCCTGCCAGCCCTGGCACCTTCTCCTGGATATGGCTGAGTCCCTAGTCATAGCAGCTGCCAATGTACAATGCCACTCCCCACTCCTGCTTCTTCATGGGTGGTCCAAACTCAAGGTTTAGGCCAGTCACACCTTCTCCAACTTCTCCCCCTTCCTTCTTAACACCAAGAGCATGGTGCGCTGTAGCCGCTGTCCAGACAGAGCATCCTTCAGTGACATTTTCCCTGACAGACTAGCCTGGCTGGCTGTTGGAAGACATGAGCACACCTCTTGCCTTTGCTGATTTTCCTCGGGGGAAGATGGGACGGCCAGGGGAGGTAACAGAGGGTAAGAATATCACTACAGAACTGATGAAACAGTGACGTGAATCCTCAACAATGTCAGCCATCCAGAAGCACCTCACAGTCCCCCCACTGGGACAGATGGCTTGGTTAAGAAGAGGAGGCAGAGGAAGGGATTCTCATCTTCCTCATTCTTCCCCACCACCACCCCCACAGTTCACCTGCTGTCAGTTGTGCTTCCAGAGTCACACTGAAGCCATTATAATAACAGGATCCTGTTTCCCTGTGCTTCCCAAATTACTCTTATTCCACTGGCCTCACACAAAGATGGAAATAGACACTGCTTTGTGCTTCTGTTTAGCTCTCCCTAATAATAGCTAATGTGCAGACTATAATACACACTGCAAATATAAAATGTTATGTCAATGCTAAGTTGTAATAATAATAATCCTGTAAAAATGTAGCAGGAGAAATTTCCATGAGCAATTTGAGGAAGATTGCTGCTTCAATAGTGTGGTACAGGTATTGCCAAGAAACAGATCGATTGTACATTGTTGGGACTGTAAAGGCCTTTGTCGTGACAGACAGGCTGCTGGGCAGACATCCCACAAAGCTTTCAGTTTGGTGCCTGGCATGGACACTGAAAGCACCCTGGGGTACCCAGTGCCTTCATTTGGTCTCCTAAGGGTGTGGCAGCAGGTCCTTGTCTCTGACTCCCATGAGTCCACTGAGAGGGCAACAGAAGCAGCATGCAGGATGCTTCTCTGCCTCTATTGTGCACACTCTCTTGCTTTCTCTTTCTCTGGAACTTCAGTTTTCAAAATGAATAAGTAAATCTTTAAAAAATATATATCAGATATGGTTCAAGTGAATAGGGGATGCGCTTGAACTTTGCTTCTTCAGGAGTCCCTAAATCAGCATGAATCCTCAGATTCAAGTCGCTTGATGAAGACTTATTTTTAATTAATTTTTTAATTATTTGAGAGGCAGAGACAGACAGGGAACTCCCACTGCCAACATGGCAGAGACTAAGGCACAGAGTTGGGAGCCTGGAATTTAGTGCAGGTCCCCTAGGAGGCAGGCAAGAACCCAGTTGCTGGAGCCAGTTGCTGCTGCCTCCCAGGGTCTGGTTGACAAGAAGCTAGAATCAGGAGTGGAGCCAGGTATTGAACTGTGGGACATGGTTGCCTGAACTGCTGAAGCAAGGGGATGCTCAGTTAAGCATTGCTAACAAGCAAGGCTTATGGGCTGTGGGATTAGTACTTTGTCAAGGCCTTCTCAGAGGTGAAACACAGTGGAAACAAAGACAGGTCCCCTTTCTCTGGTTTGGATCAAGCCCTCAAGGCTTCCAAAAGGATGAGTTTAGTTTCCACATGGATCCTCTCCTAGATGTCTCCTGGAGAAAATATACCTGTGTTTTGTTAAGACAAATTTGTCCTCTGCTTGCTTAGTGAAGCCTCTTCTCAGTAAAGCCCTCTGTTCAGAACCAACCAGCTACTGTAGTAGGGTCCCTGGCATCTCAGGCTGAGGCACCCTTTTGACTCAGGCCACTTTGAGGGCCTTATGTCCACCAATGAGATTTGAGAATTACATCCTACACCTGCAACTAGCTGTGCTTGTAAAATAGAAACATTGTGTGCCCTGTCACAGTGTACAGTGTACAGATATCATAGGCTTTGCAGTGGTTGGCATCTACAATCTTGGCAGCTATGACTGCCACTGTTACTGCTCCTGGTATTTGGGATGATGGGGCAGTGACAGTATCTGTTGCCCAGTGCCCAGGACAGTGCCCAGGTAGAGCTTGGACCACAGATCCTGGGCACTGGGACTGCCTATGCAGGTGCAGAGCCTGGCTTCAGACTACACAAGGTCAAGGGAAACAACTGGAACACAAGCCAAGCACAGGGCTTCCTCAGAAGTGTTTGCCCAAACAAGCCTGCCACAGCCCTGGTTCAGGAGCCAGGGTGTTGAACAGGCAGCCATCTAAGTAGAGTTCCACAACACCAGCTGCCCCAGCACCACCTAGCTTCAGAAGCAGTGCAGATTCCCAAGTTTCATCCCAGACCCATCAACGTGGCAGCTCTAGGAGCAGGGCCCAGAGGCGTATCTGTGTTGATTTGCTCATCCGGAGAATAGTGTAGGCTACCATTTTGAGGAATGATGATTTAGAGTAACACCAGTTGCCCCGAATGTTGGTGGCTGTACACACAGAAGTTTATATCTTGGGCCCAGCATAGTCCAAGGCTGATACAACTTTGAGCTCTAAGCCACTACCCACAGCAGCAGCAGGAAGAGCTTGATGGAAAGTGGATATCACTCCTTACCCACCCGCCCAGAAGAAGCTCTGGAGCAGTGGCCTCTGGTGAGCCATGCAGACTATGCAAAGAGAAGCACAAGTTCTGGGCACCCAGTTCCAGTCCTGGGCCACAGAAGCGCAGCTGTGGACCTTGAAGCACACCTCCCTCCTCCATGGATTCAGAGCCAGTTTCAGAGAGGCAGTCCCTAAGCCCCTGGGCTTTGACCATAGCTCCCTTCCACAGGGGACTGCTAGGCATGTTCATGGTGCAGGAAGGAGACTTGGAAGGCACACACACACCATGGAACTGTCTTCTGTGCTTTGAGCCCATCCCCACCTTCCCGTGCACTGAACTTGATGGAGAACTGCCCACCTGGATGGCAGCCAGTGAAATCCTTGCAGACTTTTTGTGCTTGGGAAAGAAACACACCGCAGGAGAACATCCAGCAGAGAGCGGGGAGACTGCTCAGCAGAGTTCCCCAAAGACATAGAGACTTAACAGTTCCAGAGAAACCCAGATCCTGTTAGAAACAATATGTTAAAGTGCCTTATTACTTAGCTACATATTGCCTAAGCCTGAAAAAGATATTAACACACTGTCAGCTTACTGGGACATAACCCAAAATAACTTACATTTTTCATATGTTGCTAATTATTTTTCTGAGGCTGGCTCAGACTGGTAAGAGAGAGATTTGAAGGCTTTTACCAGATTATTTACTTAAAGAACTTAAGCATGCCATTATTGGTTCCCATGGAAACAGAGTAATACAGGAGACAGAGGAGGTCATTTTGACCATAATTAATGTATAAGAAGAATACTTTATATGGACTTTAGTCAAGGATACAATGAGATGCTGTAATACTTTGAACCTTTCCTTCAGCAAAGTAATTTGATCTGGAGTTCAGTTTTTATACACCAATGTTACCTTTGGTTTGCCTCATCTGTAACTAATTTTGAGTTGTAAATTAAGCTTGTTTCACAGATTTTTTTTCTTTTCCAATGTCATCATTTGACTTTTGACTCAATAGGAATATTCCAGGGTACAGAATTTTCCCAAATTTCTTAGCACCTACAAATGCATGATTCCACTGGGCTCACCTTTTCTGCATGTGCTACAGTTCTGTGCTGTGAGTGTTCAATAAATGTTTGATCAACGAGTTAATTAACCATAACCCAAAGGCACGACACAATTCAGCAATGCCTTTATAAAATCACCAAGGAAAGATTTAATTTCAGTGTGTTGTATGTTGAAGGTGTCTTTCTGTAGTCTCCCTGAAAAGTAGTCATCCACAGTACATTTATTTCACTGGAGGTTCTGTGTTTTGGCACATAGTATACTCCTTGGGGATTCTAACCAAAAGATACAAACCAAAAGATGTGGTTTGTATTTCATCTTTCCACTAATGTTTAACAGTGGATTTGCAGTACTGTCTCATAGGATAAACTTTCTCATGGGAGCCTGATGACAATTTTATGAAAAAATTTTAATTGACTACAATGTGTCCCAAAAGAACTAAAGAGAAGAGAAATCAAGAGTTGACCTTCCAAGTTTCTGAGGTTTTAACACACTGAAACATTGCATTAGGTCAGAAATTACTAGGATTTTGTTTCGTTTAGAGCTGTAGTCCAAGAAGCACAGCTTCACCCAGGCAGCCCCGAGGGAGGGACATGACGTGGGCTACAGTGTAACATTGAATCATGTCTAAGAACAGGTGGCCTGAAGCTAAGTGGAGTCAGCACACAGTATCTTAGTGGGTAGCCAGTAAGTATAATGCCTCATGAGTGACCAACATTTTGCTTTTGTAAATATGAAGCTTGAAATCATTTAACAAGAAATGTAAATCCAGTTATATGCCCCGGTTACAAAAATGTTGATGGGATTGGCAATGGTATTGATTTTCTTTCTTCCTTTTTAATTTACTGATATTTGGGGGAAAGGGAAAGTAGTGGGAATTATAGCTGGGGTGTGTGTGCGTGTGTGTTTGTAGTCACATTCCTCTTCCAGGAGTACAAAAATAACATTCTATTCTGCTTGATAGGCACCATGATTGCCAAGAGTTCGGATTCGCAGCAGTACTGTTCCATAGGCTTGGGAGAGAGTGCCTAAAATAATGGATGGTGTACTTTCCTGTGTGTATTTATGTTCAGATAATTTATTTAAATAATGTTGCTGGCACATGCTTTATAGCTGCTTGCATTTTGTTACACAGATTTCAGCATATCTTGCAGACTATGCAATTCATTTGGAAAATGTAATTTCCATCCCTGCATACTAATCGATTTCTTCACAAACACCTGCTATCAGTTATGATAATAAAAATGCCACTCTGAATTGAAAAAGGTCCAAATAGAGCTTCCTAAGGAAATGACTTAAGTGTCTTTGAATGCTACTAAATGTAGTAATATGCTTGTGTAGTGCCAACACTTTTCTCATCATTTGCATTTTCCATGCTTTTTGCCCCATTACCAGTTACCATATTCTCTCAAAAGAAGTGTCATAACCATGTTCACATGGGTTGGTAAACTGAGTTATTAGGAGCCAGTATCTCAGGGCGTAGGCAGGATTTGACATTGAAGTGCACAGTGTTAAAGAGCGTGGACAGACTTTGCTCCTGGGAGTGTCCTGGATCATCCTTGATTTTGTGTGCCCTTCTCCTGAGAACTGTAATAGTGGCTGCTCCTGACTTTTATGCACACAGACCCCAAATTACATTCCCTTCATTCATTGTCTTCAGCGTCCAGTTCATTCCATGCACCACTGCCAAACTAATCTTCCTAAATCACCGATTTCACTGTGTCCTTCAGCTATCCCAGGAAACTCCCATTGCTCCCAATCAGCCACCTCCTTGACCATAACCTTCCCCTCCTGCCTCAATGCCGTGCGGGGCTCTCCTTGACCACCCCCTTGACCATAACCTTCCCCTCCTGCCTCAATGCCGTGCGGGGCTCTCCTTGACCACCCCCTTGACCATAACCTTCCCCTCCTGCCTCAATGCCGTGCAGGGCTCTCCTTGACCACCCCCTTGACCATAACCTTCCCCTCCTGCCTCAATGCCGTGCGGGGCTCTCCTTGACCACCCCCTTGACCATAACCTTCCTCTCCTGCCCCAGTGCCTGTGCTCTCCCCTCTCTCACTTCTCCCAAGGAAGCACTTGCTTCTTGGTTCAAGCTTCCCTTCTTCCTGACCCAAATATTCTCTCTTCAGTATTTACCCCTGAGTTTCTGCTTCTGCTATACCCTGGGGTTTCCCTCTTCTAAATTCCTCTCTTGATCCTGCAGTCTTCATTTGACCTTCTCTCCTTTGAACTCCTTCTTCATGAATCAGGAGCTATTAAGTTGCTCCTTTTTTTTATTCATCCAACTACCTTTTGTTGAGTGTGTACTACATGCCAGGCATCACACTATTCCTCCCTCCTTTGAAAGCATTAGTTTCATTTTAACCATCCCATCATCTGCTAGATTTTTAAGCTCCCTGAGCAAAGAAGCATATTTCTTCTGCCCTATTTGAAATCCAACATGCCCATGCAGACCTGGGTGCAGGATCATGTGTAGTAAATGCTTGTTGACTAATTGCTCCTTAGTGAAGTGAGATGGGAGCTTTCTGATTAATGTGTTTTTTTCTTTGATGAGTAGTAAATCAGCATGTACTGTGTTTGTATTGCCATTTTGCAAAATGTAATATCTTCAAACACTCAAGTGTGAAACTGACAGTGTAACTTGCTGTTTACTATATGAGGAGAGAATTCCCTGAGGTCTCACTGCATCTCAGGCTATGCCAGCCGTATATGCAGTGTGAACGCAGACTATCCATAGGTCTTCCTCCATCTGAGTGTCCAGCACTGGGCATGGGAAACAGTGCATGGAAATGAGTGTGTACCAAGAACCTAGTGTGCTTTTGAAAGGCTCCATACCATATTCACATACCAGGACTAAAGGACTTTAAACAAGTTTATGGTAATAAGCGTTTCAAATTTTCCTTCATTTTTTTTTCTTGCTTGTAAAAGTGGAGAATGACTTCTCTGGACTGGGAGCAAGTTTGGGACCCTGGTATAAGAGCAGCAGTAGAGAACAGACATTGGTTTTGTAAGAACAAGGAATTCATGGACTGACAGCTGCACAGGAACTGAGAGCTGACTCTGGCAGTCCCCTCACTCTGCTACTTCATGTGGCTGGACAATCATTACACTTCTTTGGGCTTTGCTTTTCTCCTTGGTAAAGGCAGGGTTAACATGGTGCCCCTGTTGTAGGCTTCTTGGAGGGACTGAGTTGGTTCATACAAGGCTCTGGGCTCCGTGTCTATAACTTTATGAGTACTCAGCAAACTCTAGATGCTGTTAGAGACACCACTGGGCAACACTGTGGAAATCTGGGGGAAGGCATTGGCCATGATCAGTTTCTGTTTTGTGCCTTACACATCTCTCTTTAATTCAGTGTCAGCTGTTTCTGAAGCCTTGTGATGTGTATATAAGACCCTGCATTCCCTGCCTTGGTTTCCCAGTAAGATGGGACGGAACTGAAGTCTCAATATCTGCTTTTAGGTTTCAGGAGGACTGTAGAGTCACCACTCCATCTTGGAGGTAGTTTAATTTGCTTGTAAAATGGGTGAGACTAGGGTACAATTGTGAAAGGAATTAGATACAAGAATTTGCATGATGAGGAAGGAATGGTTTGTATGTAATACCCTCTGATCTGTGGCTGTGGTTGTTGCTGCTGTTCCTGCTTCTCCCGTGCCCTGCCTCAGGCTACAGAACTATAACCTGTTGGAAAGGCGGCACCATTCCAAGGAGCCAGGCAGCCCTGTAGGAAGGGAGCAGACAGTAACACAGTAGGAAGGATTGGGGCCTGGAGTTCTGAATGTTGTCGTCACCTAGCAGTGCACACTGATTTCTATAAGGGTGTTAGGCGATGAGATCAAGAAATTATAATTTGAAAGGAATTAATCATGTGCTCAAAAGAAAGAGTCACACGTAAGATCAAATAGAATAGAAAACAATTCTAAAGAGGCCACATACACCCAGTAAAAAGTAAGAGTCCCCAGGTAAGGCCTTGCTGTTTTGTTTTCTGGGCTAATCTGAACTTTAAGAATCTGGATGAGAAACTCCCTTTTGTAGAAGGCCTCTCAGCTTGCACCTGTTCTGTTTGTCCTCCAGCCCTGGCTGCGCAGGCCTACGCTCTGAAAGAAGAGAATGACAGCCTCCGCTGGCAGCTGGATGCCTACAGGAACGAGGTGGAGTTGCTGAAGCAAGAGAAAGAACAGCTCTTTCGGACGGAAGACAACCTTACCAAGGATCAGCAGCTACAGTTCCTGCAGCAAACAATGCAAGGCATGCAGCAGGTACTAGTTCAGACATAATTATTTTTTCTTGTTTCAAAAAAAAAAATTAACTATATTAAAGAAAAGTGACTTGGCAGTCATTTGCTGGAACAAACATGCACCAGTAACTTAATTCCAAAGACAAAGGAGTGCTTATGACTATCTGTAGAGTGGAGGAATCTGGCGGAAAACCAAGGTAAAGAAATGTGGTGAAAGACTGTGTGCTGGAGGTAGGAAATGAAGGCAGAGGTAGGGGAGTGAATGGTTGTACATGGGACATCGCTGGAAGCAGGAAGAACATCCAGGGGTGCTGGTCTCGCTTGTGTGCCCATGGAAACTTGGAGGCAGCAGTTTGAGCTCTAAGCCCTGAGGCATTTACTGGGCTCCTCAAATAAGAAGTAAGATGATCTGGGCACCAAAAACAAAACCAAACACAAAACTAGGAAACTAGGCCTCCTGACCAGACAAGAGTTACAAGTTTTACAGAACTTGCTTCCTAGGACGTTAAACATATTTTGTAAGAGTTTGGGAGATTAGGACAAATTTGAGCCTATTCAGAAGAGATGAGAGGGCTGACTAACGTTACATAGGTCCCATGTTTAATTGAAAGTGAAAACTTAAGTCCTATAGTCAAAGAGGGTTAGAGGTGGCAAGAGATAACATAAATTCCTCAAGTTGTCCACAGCTGGATTGGAAGCCGTATTATCTACTGTATTGTGTCTTCATCCGTTTGCAGCCATGTATCTGTCTGAGAGCTCCTGGCCAGTCTCACTTCATTTTGGTCTAGACTGGGTCATTTCTTAGACAGGTGGTACAGCCACTTCAAGGCACATGCTCGCTGCTAGTGTTTTGTCATCGTGGTTCAAAGTAGGACAGCTGCTTTTTGTTCGCTTTGTTTGAGGTCAGCCTAGTGTAATCTCCACTGTTTCCACTTGTGCCAGGTTGTATAAGATCTCATCAGAGCCTGCAAACGTGCTGGATAGAAATGCTTGTTGGTGGACTAGATGAAGCACCAGCATTTTGAGGGAAGGGTGACTGGAGAGATGGGAGCAGCAGGCCTGCTTTTGTTAAGGTGTGCCAGATTTGAACCTGGCAAATGTACTTTGATGTTACTTGATGGCATTTGCTAGAAAGGAGGCAAGTGCTGCAGGCTGCAGAGCTGGGGAAAGGAACTTGGATTGTGGGAAAGGAGATGAGGGGAAAGGAAAACCTAAATGTTGTTGGCCTTGGGCAGATAGAATCAAAGCAAGGTTTATGCCTGAAGCCATCAACCTTAGTTGGTGTTCTTAAGGTGTTTGGGCCTGTGAATAACAAATCAAAAGTTACCGTTTTTCATACATGAGTATTTCTTAGGACCTATTTTTTTGAAAAGCAGAGTGACAGAAAAAGGAAGAGAGAGCACACCCGTGCAAGAGTGAGCGTGAGAGCGAAAGAGGATGCTCCAATTGGCTGGGTCACTCTCCAGATGTCTTCAACAGCTGGGTGTGGGAGATGCATCCAAAGCTAGGAAATGCACATGGGTCTCTCACATTGGATGGCAGAGACTCCAGTACTTGGAGCACCATTTGTGGGCTCCCTGGCATATCAGCAGGAAGCTAAATTAGAAGAGCATAGTTAAAACTCAGACAAAGCGCCCTGCTATGGGATGCTTGCATCCCTAAAGGCAACTTCACGCACTGTACCACAACACCCACCATGCCTGTGAGCAGTTTAAAATTACTCCCCCTGGATGTACCAACCTAACCACTGCTTCCTGAAAGTCAGAATAAATGAGTGCTTTTAAACAATGGAAATGCAGTAAAGTGATGAGAAGTTAAAATGAATCATTGCCACACTATTTTTAAAAGCCCCCAATCACGTTTACCTCTGAGATTGGCGCTTTTGAATTGCCTCCAAAATGTCTTAGCAGTTAGAGGTAACTACTAGAGAAGCAAGAGCCCAACAGGGAGAAGTAACAGAAGGAGAGATATAAAAAGGAGTCACGAATCGGAAACTGAGCAGCTAATGATCAAGTCACAGAAACTGCGTCTTAAACATCCCTTGGCCATCTTAGAGCGATTTTTGAGTGCTGGCTTAGAGTCCTCACTGGTTCATGTTCACAGTGTGTGTTAGACTCATCAGTGAGATTCAGAGGTCAGAGCCAGCCAGGAAAATTTCATTACACACATTGCTCAGGTCCCTGCACTTGGAAATTGATGTAACAGCTGCTGTGTGAGGCCCCCAGGGTTGTCCATATGCCTTCACATTGGGTGTGTGCGGGAGCCTTTGGAAGAGCCAGTCTGTGGATGTCCCCAAAGAGCATGACGCCAGAACCCAGCCTACATGCTCCTGTCAGGCTTCAAGCCAATAGGCCCTCTTCTCCTGATTACTCCGATAGCTTTAAAAGTAATAAAAAGCCCTGAGGGCTGCTGAACATCTCAGTCAGAAGGAAAGCAAAAGGAGAGGAGGATGAGCCGCACCACTCAAGGAGGCCCAAGTTGGGGTGTCAGTGTCAGGACGCCCAGAGCCACAAGCCTGGGCTGAGCCCCGTGCCCTTGAAGGAGAGAGATTTAGCTGTCAGAGCTACCCTGAGAGTGGGAAACATGCCTTTCTATGGCTGTTTTCCTGTTTTCCTTTTGCTGTGGTCGTAGTTCCAAAGGCTTCAAGGCCAAGATCCAGGCTTCCATGGGACTGGTTTCCTGTCAGGGCTGTCAGGGAATATTTTGTTCCCTGCCCTTCCCAGCCTCTCCCAGACTCTAGGGGTTTGCTGAATTCTTTGGCCTTCCTTAACTTGCAGTTGTATTACTTTCCTTCTCCCTATCTTCATCTCCACAGCATTGTGTGTGTGTCCAGACTGCTGGCTTTTCTGAGAATATAGCTCCTATAGAGTTAGGAGCCTACCCTACACAGGATGATCTCAGGTGCACCATGTTTGAATGAGTCAATCTGTGAATATGGGCACTCTGCACGGTAACATTAGGATCAGGGGCAAGCATAGTTCAGTCCCAAGCAGAGACATGCTAGGCAGTCACACACTGGTTGGGGAATGAATAGAAGAAAGCCTAAGGGCTAAAACTAACCACTAGCCACTAACCTGAGAACTGCAGGGAGTGCTGGGTGGTTGAGAATCCTTGGCTCATAAAGAGCAGGGCAGGGAGTGGTGAGAGCTGGTGCTAGCAGGCAGGATTCATGCCTTCTCACCTAATCCACTTCGACTACCACGATTTTTTAAAAAAAGATTTGTATATTTTTATTGAAAGGCAGATTTACAGAGAGAATGAGAGACAGAAAGAAGAATCTTCCATCTGCTAGTTTACTCCCCAAGTGGCCACAATGGCAGGAGCTGAGCTGATCTGAAGCCAGAAACCAGGAGCCTCTCCTGGATCTCCCACACATGGGTGCATGGTCCCAAGGCTTTGGTCCATCCTCTACTGCTTTCTCAGGCCACAAGCAGGGAACTGGATGGGAAGTGAAGCAGCCAGGACATGAACTGGTGCCCATATGGGATCCTGGCACTTGCAGGAGGAGTGTTAGCCAATTAAGCCATCACACCAGGCCTGACTGCCATGATTTTAACTTTTTCTGATAGTTAGATGGACTCGTGGCTATGTCTATGGCCACACATCCTATAAGTGCTTTTCTGGGAGTTTCTGCTATATTCTGTTTCTGTTACAACTTACCAAAAGATTTATTTATTTTACTTGAGAGAGAGAGAGAGAGAGAGAATGAATCTTATATCTGCTGGCTTACTCCCCAAATGACTACAATGGCAAAAACCAGGCTGGTCTGAAGCTGGGATTCAGAAATTTTCTCCAGGTCAACCATCTGCCTATAGGGACCCCACAACTTGGGCCATACTTTGCTGCTTCCCCAGGCTATTAGCAGGGAGCTTGATCCGGAAGTGGAGCAACAGGGACTCAAACCAGCACGTACATAGGATGCCTGCACCACAAACGAGGATTAGCTTGCTGTGTCACTGTGCAGCTCCACCAATTTGAATCCAACTCCAAAGAATTGCCCCAATTTAAAAACCCACCTGCAGTCTGCCCATTATCTGGGTCATCAATTACAAAATCATAGTGTCACATGCAAGTCATCAGAGAGAGCAGGGGTTACAACCTGTCTACATTTGGGAAATAACTTGTGTATCAAAAACAGAAAAGGAACCTGAATGACTTCAAAAGTAGTGGGGAATTTTTAGAGTTGCCTTCAAGTTTAGCCAAAAACCTCCCAGCCTTTCTTTTTTTAATCCCTTAAGGAATGTTCACTAACATCACACAGTTTCTCATGTATTCATGAAGAAAGCATTATGGGCAGGTTCCTAAAAATGAAAACCGTGGGGGGACTTTGAATGTTTCTGCATTTACTTCTGCACTGCGTGTGAGTCAGGATTTAATCATTTCAGAGGCTCCACACAAAAGGGAAGAGTCGCTTGTATTCACGTAATATGGCAACCTTTCCTGGAGCTGAGGCTGGCGGTGAAGTTATCCTATCTGTGCCACAAGGATGGGGGAGTTTTATTTTGTATTTTCATCTGTGTCTTTGAGTACACAAGTAAAGAATGTAGATCTTTTGCACCCCTGTTTGTTTTCAGGTTCCTACACTGAATTGTTCCATTAGGTGTATTGTGGTAAAATTTATATGCAAGAAGATACACTCTTTTTAGATTTGTAAAACGCATGCAGTTGTGTTACCATTGCTCCTCCGTGAGTGTATGAATGAATTCTGTCGCCTATCCCCTAATGCCTTGAGACAACCCTGTTCCCAACACCAGTGATATTTATTTATTCATTTTCATTTTCAGAATGTCCTTTATAGAGTATCCTACAGTATTAAATCTCTGTGATCTGGTGTCTTTCACAGTATCTCTGTATTCATTCCTGATGAGAAGATAATATATTGGAAAAGCTTAAAATAGTAAAATGTTAAGATCTGAATTTTTTTTGATGAATATGTAAATCATAAACATATTGAGTGATAAATATGCTGAAAACAACAGAGTATCATTCAGATCTGCTGATCATAAAACTGTGAATGACTGC